CCGGCGGGAGCGCCGCGGCCCTTCGGTCTCTCGCTGCGGCACAGCGAAGGGACGCGGGTAACTGAGGAGATCGGTAGCTACAGCCCTACAGGCCGTGTCTGTCAGCGGGGAACCCTGGGCCGTTGTTGGGTGGATGGGAAGGAACTGCCCGTTTGAGAAATAAATGCTTCGCCACTACTTTTTTCTTAATATAGTCATTGACCCTTTCTGTCACATCGCAGTTCCTTTGTTCTCCTTCCCCTGGAGAGCGAGGGTTTGATAGCCGTGGTCTCTGACACCTTCTAAAGACGTAAAGTGTCAGGCATTCCTCTTCCCTCGTGAAATGCTCCCATGTCTCAACTCTGTCGCTGCCCATGATAAAAACACAGTGCATTCTTAATTTACATTCAGCTGCCGCTGCTTAGGAAGGAGTTGAAAACATCACTTCCCTCAGATATCCCTGCGGTAGACCAGGGACAAGTGGAAGAGGCATTAAAGATTTCTTTTGCTCTAGGGGACGTTCTGTTCTGCTGCTGTTCAGCTTGGCCCTGCCTGCTTGGTTTTTTAAGCACAGAAACTTAAATGCGATTTGTTCATCCTTCGCGTTTTCCTGAGGGTTCAAGGTTTCAAACGCAGGTACGGCCCTGTGTCACATCTGACCCCTAAAGGCCAGCTTTGGCTTGTGACGCAGACCGAAACAAACCAAACTGAGACGAGGAGGTGCGTTTCACGTAGGCACCGATTTCTCTTCTGCTCATAAAAAATTACAGTCTGTACCATTATTCTAATTCCGACCCACTTGTGGGAAGCATCTGAATTCATGCTCTCTGCATTAGAGAAATTTTTTTGTAATTTTTCTTTTATTATTCTAGATACCATTTGCAAATAAATATTTAATCCAAAACATGCAACCTTTGTTACGTGTTTTCAGGATGCTGTCTTTGACATAGTCTATAGACATTTTAAATGTTTGTAAAATGTGACAATTACGATTAAACAAACTCTTAAACAATCTAAGCAGAAAATTTAAATGGGTCTTTTAAAAGAAATCTTTGAAATCTGGAAATTTTGTAGCTAGTCTTTTGCTTTTGTCTGCATGTGTCTTAAACAGGTTGCATTAAAGTAAAACTTTGCTGCTGTGACTAGAGCTTGTCAACATGAGACTCCCTGGAATCGTCTGCATCCGGGAGCGCTATGGAGCGATTTTCAACATGGAGGAGAAATTGGTACACGTGTCTGGGAGCAGAAGACAGTATTTGACTGACAGAAAACTCACACTGAGTGGGGTAGCAACACCCTGGCGCCAAACCCCTAACTCCAAAGCGAACAGGAATGCTGGAGCACGGAATAAAAAAAATATGAGAGCAGTGGTGACAGGAGGCGGAGGCTATTTTGGATACAAGCTGGGATGTGCTCTTGCCAGCGCAGGAGCTTCTGTTGTTCTCTATGACATACACAAGCCTATCTGGGAAATTCCCAATGGAGTGGTGTGTATCCAGGTATGATAAATTATATTTCCACAACTGTCAAAGTTAGTTCATTTACCCTTTCTATAATGTCATACTAGTTTTCACAGCATCCAAATACCTAATTGCAAATTACTGCAAGATTCAGTAACCGTTTCAGCTGTGTGAATATCCCACATGACTTTTTGTCAACTGATTTTAGCCTGTCTGAAATAAGGAAAACAATGAAACCTGTAATGCATAGCACAGAGTACCTGCTTCACCTCCTGACTCTGAAGTGCTCCTCCTGCCCTCATCTCTGCCTTAGTGTAATCACCTGTACAGTGAACAGAAGGGGTATTATGAGGCTTAACTAATGCTTTT